GCCACTCCCATATTAAACAACGTCTTCGGGTTGGATTTGGCCGATGACCAGCACTTCATCGCCTCATCCGGATCTGTCTCGACGAGAGACAGACCTAACAAATGGTTGAGTCGATCGACGTACTGAATGGAGGCATTTTGCAACTCTTTGCATATATCATCGATTGGATCCGATTTGGCATTTATTGCAAACCCAATGCTTTTTGTATGTGTTTCAGGACATGAATCCGAACTCTTTTCTGTGAGCTCTTCGTTAAAAACATGTAGTTTTGTGTCAGTTGTAGTCGTTTTGTTAAATATATAGCTGTGTCTGATTGGCGCCGATAATACAAATAACTTGGAGAGCAATGCATTACAGTATTTGCATTTTCCACATGTCTTCCAACACTTCTCATCGTTTAAGACACTGGTGTCCAACGGCTCGTAAGTGTTGGTACAGGCGTTGGTAATGCTAGGCCTTCTCGTATGAAATGATCTTGGTACGTGCAAACCCAACACAATTGTCGCACCCTTGTGTTTAAATTAATTCAATTTTAATTAGATTAAACTCAACATTAAAAAGATTAATAACAAAATATAAAATTATATCATTGACTTTAATCACTAAATGCTTTCACTTAGCTTTACTCAGTGTTATCTAATCGCTAGTCATTTATTAATTAAGCCAAACATTTGTTTTGAAAATGTTTACACATTAAGAATATTATATTTCAGTATTAATACATAATCCTAAGAATTATCGCTATTTTTAAACCTCCCAAAACGATTAACATTTTAAATAAATGTCATTACGTTTTGTTTGATTACTTGACTTTTAAGCAATTTCACCAAATGAATGAATATTAGGCAATAAATAGATATGACTTTTAATTATAGTAAAAACAAAGATTGAGTGCAATATAGAGGCAAACAGTGTGTTTGGGGTTTCATTGACGACAATAAGTTCTTTAACGACAAATTGATTGCAATTCTTATGAGTGATAACAAAAGTGCTGATTAGTTGTGTTTTATTAATTGCTTGCCTATACTGTATGTCTCGTAAGTTATCTCTAAATGAATAGCAATCAAAATAAAACTCATTTTGAGACAAACTGCGGTATTACAGTGTAATATTACATATTAATAAATCTTTTACTAATAAACACTTTATTTGCTGAAAACAAAAGATAAAACATATGTTTTTACTTAAAACTCTTCATTTTAATTGTTTTTTAAACTAATAAAAATTAATTTGTTATCTAAAAGATCAATGATTTATAGGATTTAATTAAAGTCTACAAGCTTGTATAGATTTAATTTAAATACACAATAATTAGTTTAAATATTGAAACCAATATTATGGTCAGTGAACTATCTATTACTGACCACACCATAGATAATGTGATGCAATATCACATTTATTTGTACTTAAGTACCAAACTCGACATTTTAATTGCAATATTACTATAAAGAAAATGATTAACCGATAAATCAATGATTACTACGAGTGTAACAATTAAAAGCATTGCCATTAAACTACAGATCAACTAAACTAAACGCGAGTGTTTTGGTTGACATTTAACTCAAATCAATGATATATTCAATTATATTAATAACAGAATATTCCGTATAAGAAATGGTGAATAAAATGCTTACAATACATCCGATTGTCTCCAACCATCTTTTGGTCATCAAATGGTATTTACATTCACTGAACGAGTAGTGGTTAGAGTGGCACTCCTCATGAGTTTTGTGGTATTTGTGGTCATCATGACTATGGGTTTGTTGGCCACTGTTAGCCGTGGAGTTGTTGGTGAAGTTGTCGTACCATTTCTTGTAGTAAT